GGTAGTGGACAAGCCTTCTTTACCTTCTTTCCTTACTCACTATCCAAATTAATTATATAAAACATCGTAACGTGATTACACAGTTAAATAGAAACTGAGATCTGTTTAATATTTTTCGACACAAAACAATAATCTAAATTTGTTTTGATAATAACTTGAGAAAGAGAAAACAATTAATTCCACATTTATAAATCTCCAATGTTATTATAAAATTCACCCACACAAGCTTACATAGATCCACAATTCCTCTTTTGATATCATTTCAAATCGAGATGATTTTTTTGTCAGATATCAATTAACTTGGAATATCACCTGCAAGAAAACGAAAGCAATCAATCATTCGATTTGCGTCTAATAAAAAATTCTCATCATCCATTTGACACATGAAAAAAGTCCAATTTCACAAAAGCCGTAGGTACGTAAAAATAATGTCGTGAAAGGGAACGAAATTATCTGATTGGATACGATAATATCGAGCAATTACGTTAACATAGCTTTTTATTGACGATGTCTTTATTTGGAATGAGCTATTAATCCCGCAATGGACGCGGTCCTCCTCGTTAAAATCATAAGAACTGATTGGATCTCATAGCGAGGAAATTGAATGGGTGGAGGTTTTGTGAAGTCTTGTGTTGTACATGTCGGTATTTTTAATGGGTTTTGTAATGAAAGGACGATGTTATTGAATGTGAAGGTCATGGAATCATTGACTTTTTGTAAGCGGCTTACAGCGTCGATTCATAAGCCCTGTACGACAACGTGAGCCGACTTCATGTCAAAATTTCTTGATGTCAGATCGCACAATTTTGTGCCTTACAGTCGTGCAAGGGGTAATACTCGTTTTATTTTCGTCAATCAGTAACATTTATATTCAAGACACGAAACAAATACATGCACATGCATAAAATATTCCATAGCATTCCAAATCAGCTTTAATCGCGACCTTCATTCACGACCCTTCAACGCTCACTTCTGCTTACTAATGAATGATAAACCGATATAAAAACGACGTAACGATAGAACGATCATAAGGTTCATTTTACAACAGATATGTAATAAAATCTTCGTAAAAATACAACAAACAAAATATATGTTAGATCAGCAGTTACTTATTTATATGAAACGGTAAGGTTTTTAGTGACGGTCATAAAACCATGTTCTTAACAATGGTTGACAATAAAACATGAAAAGTGCGTTAACGGCCTATAAAGTCTGCTTTTACTAGGACGTTAAACAAAATCGGACTGCGAATAGGTCAGGCTGTGCTATGGGGGCCATTTGATCACCTTCGTATTACAATAAATTTGATTATTGTTTTCTGTTGCAATCTTTTTAATAATGAGATCGCTTGTAGCTAAAGTCTGAAAATGTTGATATCTAAAGAATTAGTTGAAAACAAAAGCAGCAAATAAGAGGTTATCGTTTCGATTCTAGGTACAAAAATCAGCGTACTAAATGTAGCGCTCCTTTAATTAATTAAATATATAAGTTTTATTATTGGTTGAGAATAAAATTAAATATATTTTTACTAATTCAAATATGGAATTGTCAAAAGATCATAATATTACACAAAACCACGTTATTCCTATGAATTAGTCCTATCCCTTTGTGCACCTTTATATAAAAGATTTCCAGGAAAGCTAATTTGGTGCACCAATGAACGAACAAAAATTAAAATAACAAAAATATCTAATAAAAAAAATCATGTGTATGTTGAATAAATAAAATTTTTCATGTTTTACAAACTGTTTGTGGCCGTCGCAGACTCTAATAAAATAAATAAATGTATTATTTCATAACATATTTTACACAATTTTTTCGCTACATCACATAACTAGATTGTTAAAGTAAATACAGATATAAATCGTTCTTAAGCTAAATATCAACACCACAGACAAAAAATAAATTACGTAGAGTTGTTTTAAGATTACAACATTAAATTATGTACCACAGAATCTGACTGCCCGTGAACCGATGAAGCAAAATTATTTACAAAGTATTTAATTAACATTCTTGGCAAGTTTGTAAAACAATCTACGCTTCACATGCTAAGAATCTGTGTGCTACACACGTAGCGTTGGAAGTTGCTACGAAAATTCGTAGGCGGACATAACAGTGCTACGAATGCTACGGCGACAGCTTGGACAGTGCTGTACACTATTATGCAAATGTTGTAATGTTCTAATAAAGTAACATGAATTAGTATGAATATTTCATTATCATTTTGAAGCGTTTTTTGGTGTATTTGTTTTTCTACAATTATTGTAAGACTGTAAGTAATTCACCAGTAGTAGAAAAACTACAGTGTTCAAACTTCTGAGTACAAATTAATTTTATTAATGAGAGCTTACATAAAACCTATACTGAAACCGTGTACGTATCCAAGTCGAAAAAGAAGCAGCAACAGAATTATAACATCGTAAGCCAATTTAGTTTCAGCAAATATAACATGTCCTCCAGCGAACGTTGATCTAATACATCGCATCACTTATCCTCAACTCTCCTGAGGTATTCTTAGCTTTTAACTTGCCTGTGTATTTCGCCCACTACGTTTCCTTTACAAGGTAAGCCGGTCGTTGGTACTCAACCAAGTAAACCGACCAAGATTGCATAATAAATTGGTCTGGATGAAAAACTGCGACGCGGTTAGAAGGTTGTAATCTTTCTTGAATGGCGTAGGAAGTTGTCGTTCAATGGGGTGGGAAGAGTTTTAAAACGTGGGCGTATATTACTAGTTTTACTTTTGTACTTAGAATATTTGAGTAATTTTGTAGAAATATGGACTTGTATCGATAACAATGATTTCTTTGTTTCGTATGACTGTCGTCAATGCCATATTTTGATGTCTGGAACATTATTTAATAGAGTGACTATGACGTCCAAAAATAGAATTGGTTAAATCCAACACTTTACTGGCAATGCTGACAAATTTTTCTTTGATGTTTTGTTCTTACAAGATCGTGTAGTATAAAATTATGTTTTTGTTTTTTATTTCATAGCTGTCTATTAAACCTTTATTAACATTAACATTATCATCAGTCTATCATTGCCAGCTGCTGAAGAAAGACCTCATCTCACAAAAAAGGTTCGAGCATTAATCACCACGCTTGCTCGAGGCAGATTGGTAATTTCAAACCTATATTAAATAATGACAAAATCAGTGGTGTCTACCTTATTAATGCTTGCCAAGTTTCGAACCCCTTGCCTTTATGCATCGAAAGCAAAACGGTTGACTTGAAAATCAATGAGATTTATAGTATTACGAATAATAATACCCTACATATCGTAAAACCTAAGAATGAACCCTGAGATTTTTTCTTTATATGACATCTTATTTTTTGGCCAATTAAAGTACTTAACTAATTCTGATTCTGAAACTTATTATCTTATTGCTGACAGGACTGTGTATTGTTAATTATTTTAAGTGAATAGCTGTTACAATTATGATGCATACATAATATACATAGTAATAAAAACCTTTCAAGTAGAGTTAATTAAAAATAAGCTATGATATCCGACATGCAAAAACAAGTTTACAGTCTCATATCTTTTCATTTTATTTTTATGAAATTTCAACGAAAATTCTCTCTATATTTTTTGTGTTACGACCGATATGGGCTCTTTATTAAGAAATATTTTTTAACATAGCCGAAACATTTTTCTTAATGATGTAATCCAACCTTGGTTCACCCGAAAAGCTAAGGAATTTAATTAGTTGATTTAAGATTAATATTTTTTAGAAACAAAGAAAAAGTATCGGAACGTGTTCTCGTATTTTTTCACTTCTGTTTCTATTTTCAAACACGAAACAATTATGATCACACTAGTGATCATAATTGTAAAAACATTTTGCAGCGACTTTGCTGCTTTACTGAGTAAAAAGTTGATTATGTGTTATTCCAGGCTATTGTCTACTTCAACGCCTTTTTATCAAAATCAATACTGTTGTTTCCGTAAAAGAGTTCATTGACACTCACAAACTTTAACGTTTATGATATGGATAGAAAAGGATTGCAATTTTTCAAAAATACTAATCGTTTAAATAGCACTTTCACAAGTTTCATACGAAACCTTGTGGTTTTATACGAATCTAAGTTCAGGTTGTAAATTACAGTTATAATTATTTAATATTTTCCCACCGTACTAAGATTTATTTAAAAAAAAGCAAGAGCCTCTTCAATGTTTTTCTTATTTTTCGTTCTTTTGACATTTTCAGTACGCAGGAAAACTCCGAAGTCCTTCTCAACCCATAAATACTGACGGACCACTTAAAATAATTCTCGAAGTTCCAAGTTTTTCAACGTATCCATAAAAATCCGGGGCGGTTTATTCATTAAAATAACTGGAAGTGGACTCAGCGAAATAACACAATTTGAAATTATTATACCGACCGCCATTGCTTAACTAGACCAAGTTAAGACTTAAGTTAAAAGTTTGCCGGTCACAGATAACGTTACGCCATCGAATTACGATTTGGATGTAGGTTAACTTAGATGAGTTAAGTGTTTTTGCCGGTTTGCGGATTTAAGGACCACGGTTCGAGTGTAATATTTATGATACATTGCCAAAGTTGCTCTACTTCGATTTTTCCTCAACATTTTTTACGAAGTTAGAAACAATTGTTATTTTGTCCTGTATAGTTGGTTGCATTTAGGGGTAGTAATGGAAAAGTTTTGTTGAGACATAGTGGAAAGTCAGGAAGATAATATGTCTTTGAGGAAATGCTGTCGTAACTAATATTCAATGTATGAGTGAAAATTATTAGCTTCCTAAGTAAACACGGTCATCTAAACAATAAAAGGGATATAATTTTACCTAACTGATTCGTATGGTTATTAACATATAAGCTAGCATTACGATAATAACCAACATAAAAGGACTCACTGCTGATATGCTAGACTGCTGAATAAAGGTTCTGAATTGGCCGTTGCTAATAAGTCAAATTTAAGAGAACGTTGCCATTTTCCTAAAAGCATAAAGATATGGCTAAAACTACTCACGTCAACATCGATCCCAGGTTGCGCAAAGATCCTTGTGAATGGATACTCCTTAGGCAGATAACTGAAGAACTCCTGCCTCCCTCTATACCACTTTACACTATATAATGTTTCATTTCCTTCTAGAGTCCACTTGCAGCCGAGAAGCACTGTGTCACCAAGTTTTACTGCTGATGGGGCTATGAGTTGGACATCTCGAAGCGCTATGGCATCTGGAACAAAGAAAAAGCTATTTAATACTTCACTTTAATCCATATCACGATACAATATTTTTAATACTTCCGAGCCACGGCACGGTGAGTACTATGTGTACATGAAAGCCTAACACACATCCCCATATTCACTTTTATAATAAGTAAGGATAAGACAGTCTCATACTCTTCAAAACACGAGTAAAATATGACTAGTAGGAGGAAATCCCAATTGATATTTGCCATTCAAACATAAGATCAGAAAAAAAATATTTAATAGTTATCCTGAAAATATTTTGCCTTCGCCATTTATTTGATAAACGAAACCTATCTTATATTTTCATACAAATCACGTATGTTATTCAAATAAAATTCACAGCAAATAATATCAGAATCTAACCAAGTCACACCCTTTCATAAAAGATCAGCAAAAAAGAGCATTTTCCTCTCATTTCGTTGTAAATAACGTTTGATTCAATATGTGTGTACTTGGTTCCAATCTAGCAACTGATACCGTCGGTAAATCAATTTAGCGAAGTAATGTACAGAAACATTTGTTCCAATGTCGTATTTTTCTTTTTCTCTGGTCCCCATCATGTTGTGGTATCGAGATGTGGTGGAGTGCGATTGCTAGCGGATAACTTATTTGTTCAAGATTTTTCTGAGGCAGAAAATCGATTAAAGTCGCATATTCTGTTAATCAAACATTGTACGACTTAACGATGCGATCAAAAAAATTATGAAATTATTTCTCTATATTCTTTTATATTTATATATACTTTCTTCTATATTTCTCTTTAACTATGTGTAAACGAACCATTGAAATTACATCATTTCTATCAATACAATTTTATTTTAAAATCACGATATCATCTAAGCAAAGGGTATTTTAACATCAACGTCAACAACCCGCGACGGTTTACGGGTAAATCACAAAAGAAGACCAGATAGATACCAACTTTGCCATGATTTTCACGCTTGACAAGAAGAATAGAGATTGTGGTTTAAAAGGCTTTTCAGTTTCATTAGAAACAAACACTGGTAGAAGTACTTCTTTCTTTATTAAAAGAGCAGGCAGCCCTTTAATCGACTATGATGACACCCACGAAAAGAATTAACATGTTTTAGTTATTTATTTTTTCAACAACATACAGCGTCGACGTCATAGCCAATTATATTCACCACTATTTACTATTAGGTAAAATCTTAATCGCTTTATGCCACAGTTCACTGATTCCCGCTTAAACTGTGGCCCCACCGCACGGCTGGGTCTCTTTGACCGCAAACAATTACATTACACCAAGCGACGCCTGCTCTTAATGCAATTACAAGACACACGCCCGATTTATTTATAATTATACCGTCTTGATATAATCAGGTGTTGGATTCACTAATATTGATGTTAGTAATCTTACTAATATTATAAATGCGAAAGTTACGGTGTTTGGATGTTTGGAAGTTTGTTAGTCCATCACACCAAAACGGCTGGACGGATCTGGACGAAATTTGGCACAGTCGGCCGAAGACGCAGGCGGAAACTAGTGCTATAATTATTATGTTTATTCGTCTGACAGATATTTTCGTTGATGATAAATGATAAAGGTGGTTGACAACTTAGGAATTGATTTCACAATTTCTTTTTGTAAAAGGGTCAAATGAATGAACATTGAGAATTTTGTACCTAATTATACCTATATTGATTAAGTTTTTTTGAGTTTAGAATTCGTCGTAATGTATTATGATAAGAGTAGTATTCTCAGTCAAAAAGGAATTACTTTACATTTAAGTTTATTTGTTTTTGTTGTTTTATTTCAATTTTTATCACTTAAGTAGTTTAAATATTAAAATACAATGATACCTTTTTTCATTAATTGTAGTGTAGGTATATTTAAAATTTTTAAATAAATCAAGAGAAATTTATGTGCTATGTTGACGTCACAAAGTGATATTTCAAAGAAAGTTGTCGTTTTTGACATGCATTTTTTTTTTGTGTACCTAATTGGTATCCACGTTTTGAGATTTAAAAAATATCCGTCATTTCACCAAGAAGCACAAGAAAAATATATTTTATTTGCTTAATGTATGGTATCACAGATGTGAAAAAATATGAAATAGTTTCCTACTATTTTCGGCATATTAAATTATATGTAGATATGAATTAACATTTACATTACAGAGTTTAGTTTTGTAAATTTTGTAGAGGAACAGACTGCCACATTCAGAGCTTCAAGAAAAATCGAAACAGTAATAACAGTGTCCTGGAGGTAATTAGTTGACGTTAGTTAAATTGGGTGATTATATAATATGTCACGAGTAATTAAGCGAAGTGACAATTTGACTGGTGCAGGAAACAGTACAGCAAATATCTTAATGAGGATTCCATTGATGAGTAGGCATTTGAAGATAGTTTGAATAGTTCAAGACATGTAGAAGACATAATCATATGGAGTATTTGAACAATATTGTATTATATATTAGGTATGTAAACGATTCAAAACTACATTATAAACACTTTTTTACAAAATTATAAAGATGAAACCCACTTAAGAAGATTCTTAGAAAATTATTGGCTAAATGACAAAAACTTTAAGTAGACTTAAAACTGGCACTTTGTATTGTCAACGCAACTGTTCTTGTCAGTTTCTTTTAAATTCCAATAAATCGTTTTTTTCTGCCCGATCGACATCATCATTTGTGTCTTCTCACGCCCTGGACTCGACGAGAAGAAGCGTAAGACTCTTACTGACTAAAAACAATACTGTTCTTTCTTTTGCTTCAGACTAAGGCCACGGTACCTTATTACGTTTGCCCTGAATATTAGCTCTTTTGGGCCCTACCTGTGGTGATCTATTGGTTATTTCAAAAGGTCTGTCGGTCATTCCAAGTTCATTCAAATCAATAATATCCAAAACTATACCAAGTTTCTACCCTACTCGATATTATCCTATCAAACAATTCACGCAATAGATAAATTTTACTCCAAAGACTCCACTACTGTCGGCAATATTTTCGCGTTGGAGAAAAACAATATATTAAGGAACCACCAATACCAAGGGATCATAAAAAACATTTTGACACAAGGTATGAGTGATCGCATGCACGTGTCGAGCTGCAATTCGTCATAATACACATCAATATGCCATGGAAAATGTAAGAGAAAATTCGGTCAAGATTTGTAAACATCTTCGTTTTATTTTTAGCCGTGATTGTCTCACCGTATAGGGTAAAAGCCTATCTACCGTCCTTCCACCATTTTCTGTGCAAAGTTCGCGACGAATCTTTATCATAGCCGCCGTATCGGTATCGACCTGCCGTGACGTGTCCTGACGTATCTTATTTCATGAAGTTCTATTGTTAACCCCCGACGCAAAAAGATGGGAGTTATAAGTTTGACGTGTCTGTCTGTCTGTCTGTCTGTGGCATCCTGGAGCCTGAACGGATGAAGCGATTTCAATTTAGTTTTTTTTTTTTGTATTAAAGGTGACTTACGTGCGTGTGTTCTTAGACATGTTTGACGAAAATCGGTTGAGCCGTTTAGAAGTTTAGGGGGGGTAAGTGGGGAAGGGTAACCTTGGGTCTGCAAATATAGGTATACTCGAGTGGGGTGTCAAATGAAAGCGCACTGAAAGGGAATGTTGATGACATAATCGAGAGAAAAATGATATAAAATATCTATAAATAGTATGAAATAAAAAAATAATTAGACCCCCGACAAAATAGAAATATGTAGTTGATAATAAAACCAACGCAACGTTTTCTTTTAATTATTACTTTTTAAAGGAAAATAAGATTTTTTGTCGGGGCTTTATAACTTTATTTCTAGAGACTTTACATCTTCGTTTCGTAGAAAAACATAGAACTCTACCTAATATCACAATCACCAACATTCGTTTCAACCAATTAAAATTCACAGTTTTCAATATGAATCGAAATTTGAACAAAGAGCCTACGAAAATAAATCTTCATATATGATATGAAGAATACCTGACACACAGTAAACATTAATCAATAGTCGGAAACAGTAACAGCTAATAAGTCATAACAGGAAAAAGTTAATTTGTGATGTAACGTTACTCCGGCGAACGGAACTGAACGCCTCATGATAAATTAAGTGAGCAACTTGTTCCTTCTTAAGGAAAGTTCCAGAAATATTCGTGTCCCTCCTTATCTTTTGTCGGGACACTCGCAATTTGTAAACTGTGTTTAATATCGGAAGATTTGGCAGTGAATTATCCTAGATTCGACCCCAGTGGTCTGGGGCACGTAGTAACGATGACCCAGAGATAAAATTTTCGATTTTCAAAGTATTTTTCCAACGAAATTTGCTGTATTATTTTTTACTGTGTACTATTTTTCTTACTTCTTGACGAGCCTTTTTAAAAATATTTTTTTAAACGAAAAGTCTATTTTTTATTTTGTGTTATTATTTTATGATATGACATAATATATGATTGAAATCTTATATTTCAATACGTAAAGAAAAACAGTAAAACAACTAATTCAGTGTTTTAATAGAAAAATACTAGCTACTAGCTTTTGGCCGCGGTTCCGTTCACGTGGATTAGTGAGTTGCTGCAGTTTTTTGGTATAAAAACTATCCCATGTCCTTTCTTGAGTTCCAAGCTATGTCTGTAAGTACCAAATTCCACAGAAATCGGTTCAGTAGTTTAGGCGTGAAGAAAGGACGAAAAGACAGACACAGTTACTTTTGCATTTATAATATTACTTTGGATAATAGAGAAAAAAGCTGCTCTTGACCTTGTCCTATACTTGTGTCTAGAATGAAATCAAACAAAATTGGAATATCTTAAAAATAGAACATACTTCCTCGAAAACCGTTCAATACTCATAAAATAACATTCTTCAACAGATGACTTTTAGGCCTCATTTAACATTTTAATAACAATACTCAACTCGCATCATCTTTCTTTAACGATTCTTGACTTCAGGTTACTTATCAAATAATCCTAATAATTACTCTTAAGTGCTCTTTAATGAATTAACAGAATTTGATACAATCAACTGAGTTCCGCCTTGAGTGCGTGGGCTGGGAGATTAAGGTTCTTCACGAGTCTATTTTAAGGAGCTTTCTGTCTTGGTAAAAGTTCGTCTGAGGAAAATATAGTATAGTGTAGGAAGGGTGCCTCTTAATCGCCTTAGGGTTCTTAAAGAAACAGGCCTATTAACAAAACTATTATGAACATTGAACTCTCCAATCTAACCAAGAGCATAATAACTGACAACAAGTTTTCAGAATAATTTCCTTTAATAAATGTATATAATGTCAATTGGAGCTCATTTCCTATAACAAAATAAAGGAAGCAAGCATAAAAACAACGTTGCCACGAACCATCCAAATACATTTCATTCAAGAATTCCATAAATTTTCATCAACAAAATTATACTGAAGGGAATCCTTTGAAAGTTTCCCGAACAATACGATCGCGTGTGTGTACTCGAAGATTTATATAAAACATAATTGACTTCTTATTGGGCCGATCTGGCTATTTAGGTAATGGACGATCTCAACTATCCACTAACATCTCATGACCTTGGTTCCTTCGCAATTTGTCGGGTTATCCGAGGCCAAGTGTTTTTGGCTTACAAAGTGATTTTGGATTAAAAATGTATTGAGTACCGTGGAACGTTTTATTAGACATTGGTCTTTTTTAAGTCGATTCATTGTTTTGTTAAGACGGATCCTTGAAGAGTTATTGGTTTTCCGTCAATTTGTGGGTTAAAAATATACCTAAGGGAATATTATCCTTATATTGATGGCAAAAGTATTCAGACGCACGTATTTTTCAAGGGGTTTGGGTCGTGAAAAGAACGGAAGCATTTGTAAAACCTCTCTTTCATTCGTCAGCTTTTTCTAAAGGTTTGCAGGTCAAATTATGTTGTTTCATAATCGGTGCTACGTTTCAATTTATTAGGAAAATGGATACATTATATCAGATTTGTTTTTTGCTCCCTATGGCATTGGTTATATTATAGAATAAATATTTATGTCCACAAAGTTTTAATAAATGCAAATAAGAATTAAACATAGAATAATTCATAATTATAATATCATTCCTGTTATACTTTTTGTGGGGGAAAATCATCAAATAGTCACACCCGTCCAGGGTCGGGCGAAAGGGAGAGTCAGACTCTTGCTGATAAAAAACTCCCGTTTCTTCTCCTACTCTAGGCCGAGGCCGCGGTGCCTCATTGCGCTTACCCCACAACTCCGGTTGAACATCAGCTCTATAGAGCCCCGGCTTTGGTGATCTCTTGGCTATAATTTTAGTAATACTAGTCCCCATCATTACATGTCTATTGTAAAAAAAGCATCACATTATATTGTGTTATCATTATTGTACATTACAATGTAGTACAAAGAAACAGTACAACATAAACCCATTTCCTTTCATATCACAATCAAAATCTTCCCAACTAAAACATAAAGTTCAACAATCTCAAAACATTTTATTTATTAAAAATATCCCGGAAATAAAATGCTTCCACAAATTTATGAATGCTTTTACGTAAGTTACATGCACTTTTTTAAAAAGCTTTAAAATTAGTGATGCATAACAAAGTTTTCTCGTTAGCCGGGAAACTAAGTTAAATATGCTCAAAGTGCTGCAATAGTTTGCGCTGGATTCAAACTCTGGACCTTGCAGTCATAATTTAGCCGCAAAACAATCTAAACTAGAAATTAGATAAGATATTTCGGGATTACTCCGTTTTAATTGCTAGTGTACGTTGTCCTTGCGACGAAGTTGTATGATTATCGATGCAATATTGTATAACATCAATCATTGCTTATTAATTTTTAATGCGTTTTTTTTATCTCCCACCCTAAAACGGAGTGTCAGACTCTTAACTAACTAAGATCACGCTGTTCTTTCTCGTGTTCCGGGCCGGGATAGCGGTATATAATAGCGCTTATATCCGATACCTGGTTGAACATCAGCCCTAATGGGCCCCCATCTTTGGTGGTCTATGGGCTCTTTGAGACTCGCTTGCTCACTGTCCACAGACTGAGATCAGTTATTTTGCTAAGGGATAGGACGAATAGCTGTTAGCGTATATATTATGACTAATTGCCAGTTTAGTTCAATAAATAAAACAAAGCCAATAATTCTCCATCCGTCATGTGCTATGTCGCGCAAATTAACAATTCTTTTTCTTTAGACGCCATTCACAAAACCGCAGGCAGCACAAACCAGTTATTTTTGGGATGGGTCAGGTTTACATGAAAGAGCTTGGTTACTCGATTTAACTATTATTTAAAAACAAACCTTGAAGGCAATCCACTATTACACAAAACCATAGAATCTTCTAGACTAAAATAAAGACACCTACAAACCAATGACGTGCACGATTAACCACATTGGCCAATCACGGGCCGTCATTCAAACATAAGTATTCAAAGGGGCTAAAGTGTGGGAGAGCGATGCTTCGGCACGAATGGGTCGGCTCGACCGGAGTGGTACCACGGCCTCACAGAAAACCGGCGTGAAATAACCACAGCGTGTGTTTCGCCGTGTGAGTGAGGTTACCGGAGGCCCAATCCTTCCCCTCCCCCAATCCCTCCTAAATCCCTAAATCTCCAAATCCCTAATCCCTAAAAGGTCGGCAACGCACTCGTAACTCCTCCGTTGCGAGTGTCCATGGGCGGCGCTGATTGCTTACCATCAGTTAATGCGTCTGCTCGTTTGCCGACCTAATAAATAAATTAAAAAAAAGAGACTAAGTATTGCAAGGATAACTGTAACAACAATAATGTTCTTTTAGAGTTCAAAAGTCTTTCACATAATAGCTTTTATTACCATAAATTAAGATTAAATGCTGGATTAATAAATTATTTATTTATTGAATGTGGAGGATAATCGTTTAACTGTGCAAGAGAGCTATGACCAAACCGATTCGTGGTTACGATTGTTCAATGAAAACCGAGAAACATTGCGTTTTAATAACCTCGTATAGTAATTGCTTGTTCATTTTTAACCTTCAATGTAAAACATATTTTTTTTATAAGTTTTTGTTTCGTGAACACAAGGAAAATGAGAATTATACGCACACAGCCACATTTTCTCGTGACATTACGAATTTTAATCTCCATTATATTAAGCAGTGACAAACATAATTATTTTATTAATATAAGTATAAAATTCTCGTGTCGTGTCTCGGTATCTATGAGAATCGGCCAACATCTATTTTTCATCCCCCGACCATAATTTTTTTCTGACAAAATTTTTAATTCCTATTTTTATTATGACACAACATACAAAAATACCTACAATCCTCAATTATCACTCTTCTACGATCAACCCTTATTTTTTAATAGCCAAAGGATCAGCTAGTGTTGATATTATATTGCGATTTTTTTAATTCGCAATATACGACCCCATGTGGGTGGGGGTCGTACGCATGCCTCCGGCCTGAAGCAATAGAAGAAACACGGTGGTTTTTAGTCAGTAAGAGTCTGACACTCCCTCCCGCCCGGCCCTGGGCGTAAGAAGAGTCTGAATCTCACTCGTGCAAATATATCACGGTTCAAACAATGTGAGCCAAGCAGTGATTAAGACCACGCGGAAGCAGCTAGTTAAGTTTATTGTGCATTCCGTAAGCCATATACATATACAGTTAATACAAATTTATAAATTAATTTGATAATAAAATATTACAAGTTCAGGTATACCACCCATCCTTATGATATCCGACTGCACGGTTGAACAATGGCTAGGCACTTGGCAGCTGCAAATTTGCTTCCATCCCCTCACTGTACAACTCTTTTCGGGTCTGATTATCATATGAATGGGTATGGCAAACGCATGACACAAGAGGGATCCAAGGACCGAAATACGTCAAGTCCACCTACACCTAATATAAATATGCAATGAGGCTATGGAACTTTAAAAAAAAACTATCAAAGGAACTCTCAAGAATTTTAATCACGATTAAAACATCAAAGGGTTACTAAAAAACTATTTTTTTATTTAAAAGTGAGGTTTTTGGTATGTAGGTAGTAATATCCTAGAGAAGATTTTAGGCAAAATTTTAGATTTTAGCATAAAAATTGTTGTAAACTTTTTTGATTGAATTATGTCACTTTCAATCTTTGAAGATTACGTTATTCTTAATTAATCATTTCATCGTCATCATCATCAGCCTATAAGTGCCCACTGCTGAGCAAAGGAATCTTCTCATACGGAGAAGGTTAGAGCATTAATCACCACGCTTGCTCAATGCGGGTTGGCGATTTCAAACTTATAATTAGAAATTATAAGTCCAGGTTTCCTCACGATGTTTACCTTCACCGTATGTCAGTGGTGTCTATTATAATCATAGAAAGTACATATAACTCGGAAAAAGTCACATTGGTACTTGCCAGGTTTCGAACCCACACTCTCATGCATGAGAAGCGGGCACCTTAACCTCCGGGCCACCACGACATTTCATCGTATAACTAACGAATTCAGAATAATTTTAAATTTTTAAAACTTTTTGATTAATTACAAATTTAACCTTAATACTTTAAAATACTCAGCGGTATTACGGTACCGCGGCCTCGGCCTAGAGCAGGAGAAGGAACGGGGAGTTTTAGTCAGTAGGATTCCAAAGCTCCCTCTCGCCTTACCCTGGACGATAGAACAAATTTAATGATTCTCCCCTCAAAAAAAAAGTAAAATACAAGTTTTATTAATCATATTCAGGTATTAGTTCACATTGATAAAATTATAATATTTAGTTTAAGAATGATGGATGGATTGCTAGCTATGAAAGTCTATGACCATGGCCAGTAACGGCTAGGAAAGATTATTATTATAAAGTGTGAAGTATAAATACTTGTGCGAGCGAGACAGAATACAGCTAACACCTAAAACCGAACTAACATAATACTGATTCCTGGAAACCAAACCAACTCACATAGCAAACAATTACCCTGTTACTGCCTGCCTCAACGCCCTTAATAAAGCTTAACTCTAACAGACTGAATATCATTTGAAATTCAATGAAATACACCATATGTAATAGGTCTTTACCTAAAAAATTGCCGTTCTGCAGTACTGGCTATTTCAAATCAAAATAGTTTTTGTTAGGCTAAGGCTAATTAATTTTGTTTTAAAAACATGGGATTCTTTTTCCAAAAGTAGTCATTTGTTTATTGATTAGTGTTACATTTTCATCACATTTCAAATAAAAAAATTCGTTTACATTTTTTCATGCAAAACGGCAATTTCATAGGTCTATTATTTGTGTTCTTAACTAATTTTCCTTATTATAATGAGAGTCTACAATTAGAACATGATACTTAAAACAAAAAGGATATGCCATAATCCCCATGTATAGCAGACCCTTTGGAAACTGCAGCCTAAAAGAGTCCGGGTTAATAGTAAGTGCTTCTGCTTTGTTTCTGTTAAATATACCCCAAGTAGGCCCCAAGGTCGTGGTGGCCCGGAGGTTAAGGCACCCGCCCGCTTCTCATGCACGAGGTTGTGGGTTCGAAACCTGGCAAGTACCAATGTGACTTTTTCCGAGTTATATGTACTTTCTATGATTATTTACACATCACTGACATACGGTGAAGGTAAACATCTTGAGGAAACATGAACTTATAATTTCTAATTATAAGCTTGAAATCGCTAACCCTCATTGAGCAAGCGTGGTGTTTAATGTTCAAACCTTCTCCGCGTGAGAAGACGCCTTTGCTCAGCAGTGGGCACTTATGGGCTGATGATGATGAGGCCCCAAGTTCTTACGATACCCGCCAGAACAATAAAGGTGGTACGATGGACAGATATATTCTCCCCTGACCTCATCACACGGTAATTCTTATTTTGTCATCATCATCATCCACCGCACTACATTTAAGGCTCTCCAGATATGCTTAATAATTTTAATTTAAAAACTGCAATTTTTATTTTCTTGCTCTAACATGCATAATCCTCGGAACTAAGCGTTGAAGACTTCCATTTCATGGGAGACAGTCTCTAAGCTATACAACTCAAGGATCAAAGGCTTTCAAAGTTTCCAGAGTGTCCGCTTTCCTGAATCTCCTGCCGTTGTTTCACAATAGATTTGCAAAGCTCGATCTGTCTCAATAACCACAGTGCTGTAACATCGTGGTGAGGTTTCAACGAGGTATTTGTGAATAGGTTTAGTACAGCAATATTTACCCTCGTTGTCTAGTGTCTATTGTCTTTCCTTATATTTACGATGACATACATCCTAGCCTAGCCTAGCCTACTATTTTTAAAATAAAATAAATGTGATTAAAAATAAAAATTGAATTGATTTTAGTGAAGTTGTACAG